ATACAGAGTGTCCGAAAAAATAAATTCTATTCTATCATTTATCCGTTGTTATTTCTATTAAGTCACAGCGACCCGAATCTCCCCCGAAGAAATAAATCTTCATTTGTCAATTCGGCAAGATCTAACTTTCGATGAATTAAGCGAGTTGCCGCACATTTAAAGTACACTTTGAAAGTCCACTTAAGAGTTACTAAGCCACACGTAACTAAAAGCAACAAGTGCTATAAGTAAAATGAACCTGAAAGCCTTTTCGGAAGTAGTAAAATGACAATCCACGGTCTACTTCAAACAAGATCGCTTATTTTCGAACTTCGGCGAGTTTCAAGCCGTCGTTGTTGGGCGATTATTCGCGGGAGCAATAATTGTTGCGTTATCATTGGCCTGCAGACGTCGCGAATGTACAATTCGACCATTCTGGGTAATATTGAGATAGCAAATTTTCCGTGGCAATGCAATGAATTCTCTGCAATTGTTTCTCAGCTTGTGAGCAAAAATGGACAATTTGGGAAGAGGAGATACGATTATTCGAGTCTCGCGGCTTGTTTTTCCCTTCCCCAATTGTTCATTTTTGTTTACAAGCTGAGGGGCAATTGGAGAGAATTTACTGCGTATATTTTGCGATTAATAAACGGCTAAAAAGTGTTTCATGCGCAAAGAGCTAGTCTAATTACCATTTCCCAAACTTTTATTATTTTTCAAATTTATTATTATTACTATTTATTATTATTCATTATTATTATTTATAATTATTATTTATTATTATTACTTATTATTATTTATAATTATTATTTATTATTATCCCCTATTATTCCCTATTATTATTTATTATTATTTATTATTATTCCCTATTATTCCCTATTATTATTTATTATTATTTATTATTATTCCTTATTATTATTCCCTATTATTCCCTATTATTATTTATTATTATTTATTATTATTCCCTATTATTCCCTATTATTATTTATTATTATTTATTATTATTCCTTATTATTATTCCCTATTATTCCCTATTATTATTTATTATTATTTATTATTATTCCTTATTATTCCTTATTATTATTCCCTATTATTCCCTATTATTATTTATTATTATTATTCAAACTTTTCATAAATATTTGCTCATGTGTCAACATGACACAGTGTAATGTTTACAAAATACCATGTATTTACAATAAACCACTTCAGAGCGTTCGCGTTATTATTGTTCAAATTTTCTCTCGCAAACAGTAAATGTAAAGAACAAATAGCAGAAGAGACGGTGCTCGAGTTGATGAAACAAATACACTCAGCGAACTAAAAAAAAATGCCGTCTCCGTTCTTCGATCGGAAGCATCGGAATACAGTCGAAACAAACAGCGGACAATCGATTGAACAAAAAGTCAACGACAACAAAAGCGACGCTCGCAAACTCGTCGTTACATCGCTATTACCGAACCGTTTCCCGCGTCTCGTTTACAAAAATCTCGCAACATTTCCGCAATCGAACATCAGAAAACGAACTGTCGCAAACTGTGTACACGTTCGCCGAACGCCGACGAAACGACAGAGCGCCGCCGTTATCTTCCCCGCGACGGACCGCGGAAAAAAGAAACGCCGAAAGCGCGCCGCGCCGCGTCGTGATTACGAACACCGGGCGTAACACGCTTGCTTGCACAGGCGGTCCGATTTTTCGTATCGCGTCCGCCTGATTAAATTCCGAGCAACGAAATTATCGAGTGGAGAATGATTAAGCGTTTGCGGGAACGGAACGATGCTTTTGAAACGTAATGGAGCCCCGCGCAGAACCCGCGTAAGTAACGCCGCGGGAGCACGTATCGTTCCAATTAAATAATTCCCAGCGAAATTACAGGCAATCCGCAAATTACACGGTGAAACAAAGACCGCCCAGCTCTCCCACGCTGCCACCCCACGCCCCCCCCCCTCCGCCCGTCCTCTTCTGTTCGATATGCCTGTGAACGTACACCGCGGCGGCGGCGGTGTTCTACGAGCTCGAAACCGGCGACATTAATAAACGCGATTGCGCGGCAGAGGCCGGGCCTCAGCGAGCGCGGACATCTTAAAATATCGATAACGATTCGACCTAATTGGCTAATGATCTGCTCCGGCGAAATCTGCGCCTTTGCTTTCGTCCCTTGTGGAAATCCGTTTACGTTTTCCGCGGCGAGCCGAGGCAGAGCGAGGCAAAACGAGGCGAGGAAAAGCGAGACGAGGCAAAACGAGGCGAGGCGAGGCGAGGCGAGGCAAAGCGAGGCGAGGCGAGGCGGGACAAGGCGGGACAAGGCGAGGCAAAGCGAGGCAAAGGGAGGCGAGGCGAGGCGAAGCGAGGCAAAGGGAGGCGAGACGAGGCGCGGCGGCGACCAGCGTTGCGGGGCGAGGCGGGGCGAGGCGAGGCGCAGCGGCGACCAGCGCGGCGCGGCACGCCTCGTTTAACAGCTTACGGATAACTAAAACGGAAATAATGGGCGAAACACTCGAGGCCGTTACGAGAGGCAACCCGTCGAACGATATAATCCTGACATTATTGCGACCGTGTTTCATTATCGTAATGGTAAATCGACCCTGAATATATTCTGTCACGTGTAACCGTTAATATATACATATATATACACATATGTGTATATTGTTTTCGCGCAAACGAAACGCGCGCGGATTAAATGAACCGAAAAGGAGAACGCAAATTATTAATCGGCGTCGTCGTGTTTCCGTTTGTGGTGAATCATACCTGCGCTTTTCATCTTCCCTGCTGATTACACCGAGAAGCTATTGCTCGGTCGCCGCGCGACTGTGTTTATCGGGCTTGCGCGTTTTGCGCGTTTCCGGCGACATTTTCAAATTTAACATTGAATTTCATATAGGTGATAGATGGAAGGAATTTTTCGATGACTATGCAGGGTGTTTCAAAATTATGGTGTTTTTGGGAAGTAAGGGATTCCTGAGGTGATTTGAAGCAACTTTTTCCTTAGCGAAAATGCAATCCGCGGCTTCGTTTGCGAGTTATTAACGATAAACGCTGGCCAATGAGAGATCGCGTACGGCTGACGCTCCGCCCAAGCGACCACTGTCGCTGCATCAGACGGCCGACGCGGTGCGGCATTGGCCGCTAGGGCGGAGCGCCGGCAGCGCTCGCTCTCCGATTGGTCAGCGTTTTTCGTTAATAACTCGTAAACGAAGCCGCGGATCGCATTTTCGCTAAGGGAAAAGTTGCTTCAAATGACCTCAGGAATCTCTTACATCACGGAAGTATCATAATTTTCGGATAGACTGTATATTGAATCTGTGTTTAAATTATTACGAAAAGAAAGAAGTTGCTATTCGGTCAATAGTTCTTTTATTCGATGCAGCCTATTATCGCGTTGCATTTGTAGAAAAGCTAATAACTGGACGGCGAATTTTTATGCAAAATAAAAATCGTCTGCATCGGTTGCAAGATGCAAAGATCGATTGCAAAAACATTTATTTCTTTCCGTAAGAACTCGAACGAGTTGCGAATAATATAATGATCATTTTTAAATTCTTGGAACGTTTTTACTGTTTTCTGTTTGACCTACTTGTTTTTGCACGTACGTACAGTTCCTCGCAAAATCGAGCGTACACCTTTTAAAACGCAGTAACTTTTTTAAAACTGGACTTCAGTGACTTCAATTTTTTTTAAATGATAGAGGGACTAGTCTAGTAGACTAAAATAATGACTAAAATGCCTTCTCTTAATTTTGCTATTACTCTTGATGCACATAAACTACCGAGATCTTCCAGAGGCATTTTTTAAACCTCCGTTACAGGCTCGCATAAAAAAGTTAAGAAAACGAGAGTTCTTTTATTCTCTTCTTGTCATTCCAAGTAACAGCAAAATCTAAGAAAAGCGTAAAAGAAAATCCAAGTCTCTCGGTCCAACTAGAAAAAAGTTATTGCGCTTTTAAAAGGTGCACGCTCGATTTTGTGAGTGACCGTATATTGACAAAAATATTCCATTAGAAGATTTTAAACCTCCGTTTCAGGCTCGCATAAAAAAGTTAAAAAAGCGAGAGCTTTTTTATTCTCTTCTTGTCATTCCAAATAACAGCAAAATCTAAGAAAAGCATAAAAGAAAATTCAAGTCTCTCGGTCCAACTAGAAAAAAGTTATTGCGCTTTTAAAAGGTGCACGCTCGATTTTGTGAGTGACCGTATATTGACAAAAATATTCCATTAGAAGATTTTAAACCTCCGTTTCAGGCTCGCATAAAAAAGTTAAAAAAGCGAGAGCTTTTTTATTCTCTTCTTGTCATTCCAAATAACAGCAAAATCTAAGAAAAGCATAAAAGAAAATTCAAGTCTCTCGGTCCAACTAGAAAAAAGTTATTGCGCTTTTAAAAGGTGCACGCTCGATTTTGTGAGTGACCGTATATTGACAAAAATATTCCATTAGAAGATTTTAAACCTCCGTTTCAGGCTCGCATGAAAAAGTTAAAAACACGAGAGTTCTTTTATTCTCTTCTTGTCATTCCAAGTAACAGCAAAATCTAAGAAAAGCATAAAAGAAAATTCAAGTCTCTTGATCCAACTTGAAAAAAGTTATTGCGCTTTTAAAAGGTCGATTTTGTGAGTGACTGTATATTGACAAAAATATTCCTGTAGAAAATTTAATCAAAAAGCAATCGTTACTTCGACTAAGCAAAAATAGCTCCATTTCAATAACAATCATTCGAACGACGAAAGCTTCGTCGGAACGTTTCCCGGCGACTGAATCGCGTCGCACAGTCTCGAGGAAAAAGAATTAGTTGTTTCGCGGAGCACCGAGTTCAAACTCGTGCAGATCGAGCCTAACACCCACCCGACAAGCATAAATCTCTCGAAATCCGCGTAATAGGCGGCCTACGTAGTCGAACGGGCCGTTTCAAAAGATAATCCCATGCCTTTGATTGCAGCCCTGCGAGAAGCCGAGCGATATCCGGGCGGAGCAGTGCGCGGCTTACGACGACGTACCTTACAGCGGGCAACTGCTCAAATGGTATCCGCATTATGATCCGACAAGGCCGTGCGCTTTGATCTGCCGGGGCGAGCAATCCTCGGAGAACACCGAGACACGGTTGAGACAGGAAACGTCCGCGGAGAAGATGCTTCCGCGCGACGCCACCGAGGCTTTGCAGCTCGACAGCGACGAGACCATCGTCGTGCAGCTAGCTGACAAAGTAGAGGACGGCACCAAATGCTACACAGACGGCACCGACGTCTGCATCGCCGGCCAATGCATGGTGAGTTAGCTCCCTTTAACCTGCGACTTTCCATTCGAATGCTGTCGCTGAATAAACGGCGAATACACCGCCGAGCCACCGAAAGTGACCAACCGGCTTTCTTCGACTTTGCAAAGACGACGACGAGACCGAATTTATTTCGATCCGTCGCCGATTTTTATCGCGACGCGAGCTTCGCGCGAACGAATTCGTTCGATCGCTTTTCTTTCGGAATGTCTTCGTTGTTTCAGCGATTTGTAAATGAACGAGGGAGGGGGGATTTTAATTTTTCAACGAGGTAGAGAGTTATTATAATTATATATATTATATATTATTATATAATATATATTATAATATATATATTATTATAATTATATATATATTATTATAGAGAGTTATTATAATTATATATTAAGGTTAGAGAGCTCAAGAATCGAATTTTCAACCCCTTTTGAAATGAAATAATATGAAATGATGAAATAATATATAATATATTAAAATAAATAAATATAAATACGTAAGTAAATAAATAAATATATAACCCCTTTGAATTAAATAATATATTACTTTTCGAGTCGTTTCTGCCTCGCAAAATGATGTTCTTGTCGCGTTTGTTTATACGATAATGAATGGTATAATATATAATATAACAAAAGAAATAAATATAAATATTGAAGTATATAAATAAACATATAATCCCTTTGAATGAAATAAAATATTACTTTTCAAATCGTTTCTTTCTCGCAAATTGATGTTCTTGTCGCGTTCATTTATACGATTATGAATGTAAACGTCTCTGTTACGGAATTTCGAGAAGAATCGTTAGGAATACAGATTTTTTAACAGTGCATAATTTTATGTTCGATTTTATGTGTCTCGTGACTGGAAAAGGGAAAATCGGATACCGAACAACCGAGGTTTGCATTGTAAATGTTGAACGCTGGATTATTTGTGTTGTTCGATGAAACATTTGTGTGACTGCGTTTTTGTACGCAGATCGCGGTCGATCCACTGCATCGAAACCAATTGTGTATCTTCGGAAGTGCATTACGATGTTGATAGGATGCAAATGAAACGAACGATTTTACAGGATTTATCGCAGATCGTATTGTCTTGAATAACATTTATTTCGATACGTTCGAATGTCCGTCGAAGCTGTATCGTACAAAATTTTATTATATTTATCAACCCTTATATTTATGAACTCTCGTACTTATGAACCTTTTGCTATACTTTGGACGAGTCTGACGCGTTATAGATGTTTCTACTGATACAGTAAATTCTCCCTAATTGACGCTCTGATTGCGCACAAAAGTGGACAATCTGGGAAGAGGGGACACGATTATTCGAGCCTTGCATTTCGTTTAATAAATTAACTGTTTAATGAAATAACCGTAGCATAACCTCGCTTTTATAATTGTTGACAATCGATAACTATAAACATTTGTTATTGACGCACATATTGCGTTCAGAAGTGGACAATTTGGGATGAGGGGACACGATTATTCGAGCTTTGTATCTCGTTTAATAAATTAATCGTTTAATAAAATAACCTTGACATAACCTCGTTTTTATAATTGTTGACAATCGATAACTATAAAAATTTGTTATTGACGCACAGATTGCGCACAAAAGTGGACAATTTGAGAAGGAGGGGACACGATTATTCGAGCCTTGCATCTCGTTTAATAAATTAACCGTTTAATAAAATAACCGCAGCATAACCTCGCTCTTATAATTGTTGACAATCGATAACCATAAAAATTCGTTAATAAGAAAACTCGTGTAATTTTTTTATACTCGAATAATCGTATCTCTTCTTCCCGAATTGTCCATTTTCGTGTACAATCGGAACGTCAAGTAGGGAGAATTTACTAATAACTTGTGAAGTATGAATGCTATTCGCTTCTTTTTAGTCTAAATAAAGTTCCCATTCCCTGTCATCAGTATTTAAACGTTTAGGTAAATGTGACCGTACGATAACTATAAATTGTCTTCTATTATTATTGTAATTATTATTATTAATTACAATCGAAGAATTTCTGACCAGTGAAACTATGAAGAAAATTACCACGAGTCAATTAATACGGCGAGAAATAATCTCGATTTGTCAACATGAAAATCATAATTTTCCGCCTCGAGATCCCGCTGTCATCGTTTCACTATATGAAAAATGAAAATGACGAAGCAAGTCGCAAACATTTCCGCAACAACAAGAACGCAACGAACGAAAATTCGCATCGATCCCGCCCCGCGTTTCTCGCGTTTAAAGCTCGACGCAATTTACTTTCGGGCAAATGAAATTTCGTTTCATATTAATTGAAGCGCGCTGTAATCTTCGGATTGATTAACAATAACGAACAACCCCGATGGTCGCGCTTATTATGCTTGATTAAATTTGCGAGCGAACAAATCGCATGTCGGCCGCGCCGGGCGCGGCATAAATATTGTTTTCAGACGACCGGGCTTCTTCCCGCGGGCAAATGACGCCGACTTTTTTAAGCTGTCGCGTTCGTTAACTGGAGAACACGCGCGTCTATCCGTTCGTTTCAGAAAATTCCAGCCGGATAAAAATGTTTCGAGTGCGCGGCTCCGCCGGATTCGTTTAAACGCGATTTAATTTGCCTGCGAACTGTTTCGAACCCGTTTGTCGTATCTTTTGTGGGACGTTACATCGCGGTACCGTGGACACTTATTTCGCGAATGCTGCATTGTCCTTCTCGCGAGTATTTTTTAAGCTATCGTAATGCCAATTACGTAATTCCAATTCAATTTCAAATTTCTGAGGAAGATTAGGAAGAACGCTTGCAATTAAGGCGAAGCATGTCGGACGTATTCAATAATAAGAAGAATTTTATTGTGAACAATATACAGGATGTCCCAAAATTATGGTGCTTCTGGGAAGTAAGAGATTCCTGAGGTGATTTAAAGCAACTTGTTCCTTAGCGAAAATGCAATCCGCCGTTTCGTTTGCGAGTTATTAACGAAAAACGCTGATCAATGAGAGATCGCGTACGGCCGACGCCCCGCCCTCGCGACCACCGCCGCTGCGTCGGACGGCCGACGCCCCGCCCTCGCGACCACTGCCGATGCGTCATACGGCCGCGAGGGCGGAGCGCCGACTGCACTCGCTCTCCGATTGGTCCCCGTTTTTCGTTAATAACTCGTAAACGAAGCCGCGGATTGCATTTTCGCTAAGGAAAAAGTTGCTTCAAATGACCTCAGGAACCCCTCATTTCCCGGAAGAGCCACAATTTTGGGACACCCTGTGTTATGGCACTTCGAACGAGTATGAATTCGTCGAACGCAGTTAACTGATCGAACGCGAACCGGAAATCGGCCGCCTCGCTTTTAAAACGCAAGATTGAATGGGGGCGAGGTTTGGCAGGCCGAAACTCGCGAACTTTCGCGCCAGCTACGAAATACGGCGTACCGGAAGCGATACTGACATGGCGCAAAAATTACGCTGCCTCCCTAGAGACGAACGTTCCAGGGGCTCGTCGGCGCCGGCTTCCTTCGGATCCAGTGAACTATGATTCACTTAATAAATTAGTTTCTCGGCGGATCGAATTCTTAACTCGCCGCTTCGCTACGAATCCTCGCGCGATTGCTCCCGATCGAATGTTTCGATTTTCGTGGTCGATATCAATCGTTCGCGATCGAAGCTGTTTTAATTCGAAATCGAGAACGCGTTTTCTGATTTACAGTATTTCGATTTTATTTATTTGTCTCACCAATGAACGGCCATAGGCACTTGGAGCACGTTAAATTGGAAACGTAGAATTGTATTATGGATCGACGATGATGAAAAAAATGATTTATGCGTGTGAAATTCAGCCTGTTGACAAGTAGAATATTCTACATTTTTAAACGTTAGTATAACGTTATAGTACTTGATAAGTTTCATATATCCAAAGTAATTATTGTATAGTAATTTATATATTGATTTTATTTGTATATTAAATTTATTTATATATTACTTTATTATTTTTATTATTATTATTTTATTTATATATTGAATTTATTTATACATATATTACTACTCTATATATTAGTATATTCTATATGTAATAGTAATTTTGCAATAATATGTTACAAAATATATTGCTAATAACCCCGTAGGGGGTTTCATAGCTTAATGAAAAAAAGAAAAGTACAAAATGCTCGCAATTTTAACAGTCTTTTAAAAATACAAACGAATCCGATACTATTACAATTATTTAGTAAAATGGTATAGCAATTTTTAGTCAGACAGCTCGACTGCAAAGGGTTCTGCTACATCTAGAAAAACTCTTCTAAACAATAACAATAACCTAAAAGAAATCGACTTTGCTCCTCGAAAGTGCTCGTTAATTTTCAATCCAATTTGCTATCGCCATTGATATAAATTAATTTCTAAAATATTGCGATACGATTACATGTAAATACAGTAAATTCCTCCCAATTTTCCATCAACTTGTAAATAAGAATAAACAGTTTGAGAAGAGGAGACACGATCATTTGCACCTGGCGCCTCGTTCTCACAATCGTTGACAATCGGCAGCCGTAAAAATGGACCGCGAGGCTCGAATAATCGAATCGTTCCCTAAATTGTACATTTCAGCTTGCAAAGGCTGAAGAAAAATTGCGGAGAATTTACTGTACAGCGTTCGAAGTAAATAAAACAGTGGGGAGAATTTTTTGGGAGAAGTTATTCGCCGCGTATAAATCTGCGTGCACTCTCATTAGTGATGTAGGTCGTCCGTTGATCAGACATATAAAGTGATCATTGCGCGCGGCGTGTCAGCCAATTCCAGAAACAACCGGGTCAATTACTGGACCAATTTCGACACGTTAATTCCAGAGACACGGTGCCGAGTCGCGACAACAATGCCGGATCCCGGCAACACGGTCGGACTTATAAAAACTGTCGGGAACGAGGGACACAGAACAAATATTTCCATCGAGCACTCTCTTTCTCCCCCGGAGAAAGAGAGAGAGAGAGAGAGAGAGAGAGAACCCTTGTCCACTTGCAGCCGTGG